TCCCGTAAAATAACGTAGTTTCTAATTAATATTTTATTATAAATAATTCTTTCTCTGCAGATATCTATCTTATAAAAAAATTACTTTTATAATTTTTTTATTTTATTTAGAAATTTTTTATAAGATTATTTTTCATAGCAGCTGAAATATTTTTATATAAAATACATAAATAGATTTTTATAATATATATTTTTTATAATTATTTTTACTATTTTTCTATAAGTTCTTAGCTAGTCTGAATTTTCTGTAATATTTTTTATTAATAATATTCTAACACTTATTATTATATCTATATTTTTTTCTAAATTCAAAAAGTTATTTAACTGCTATAGTTTATTTTTTTTAAATTTCTTATAATTCTTTTTTATAGTCTTTTTATTATAATTTAGTTGTTATAATAAAATATCTCCCGGGTTTTATAAATCCGATTTATATATTAAAAAAAACTTAAATATTATAAAATATTATATCTATATTTTTTGAGTATATAAAAAAGTTTATTTTAAATAAAAACTAAATATAGATTTATTTTAGTTTTCATATTTGTAGTGTGTAAATCAATAATAATATAATCTTTAAATATATTATTAACTAATTTTTCTATAATAGATATAAAATATATAGTTACTATATATAATTTAATAAAAAATGATATATTTCATTAATAATATATAATTTTCTTCAGAGAGTTCATATACGCGTAGTTTACTAATATAAAATTATTATTTATTTTTTATTTATATATATAGTTAACAATCTTCAGATATACTAGTAGTTTTGTTATTAGAACTATTAAAAAATATAGTAAGATCCGCAGGTTCTTTTATAGTTATCTTTATAAATAGTTATACTATTCGGAAGAATAAAAGAAATTATTAAAAAATATTAAAGTTAATCTTTTTTAAAAAAAGAATCGGGATTAATAAATAAATAAAATATAAAGAATATAAGAACATTAAAAAAATTTAATATAAATATAAAAATAAATTCGACCAAAAATAGTTTACTCATAAATAAAATATTAAGTTAAATATATAATAATTTATTATAGGTAGCAGGAAATAAAATATTTATTAGAATATTTAAATAAACAAGCAACTTAATAATATATTATTTATAATTAAAAATAACAGTCAGTAAATAAACTTAAATTAATATCAATGAATTTAATAATATCATTATTAGTAGTATATATAATAATATACTTATTATTTATTAACATATTAAGATAGATAATAGAACTAATAATAAATTATTTGAATAAAAAATATTTATTAAATATATATATCAAAACACGCCGGTATAATTTTCAGATTAGAAAATATAATTAATATTTTTAAATATAAACTTAGTTTTAACTAATATATATATTTTTCAACATAACAGAATAATAACTTGTTTTATAATATAAACAGAAATCTTAATATAACTAGAATAAATAAATATTTTAATTAGAGAAATAAAATTTTTATATAAAGAAATATATTAATTTATTTTTTATAATTAAAAATAATATCTTTCCAGCTGATAGTATTAGTATTAATTAAAATATTTCAATACAAATTTCTAATAAGATAAATTCTAACTATAAATAATATATATTAATAATAGTATCTACTATTTTAAAATCTAAAAATATAAGTTTTAAAAATAATATACTTAAATAAGTTATAATAAAGGCTAATATTTTTAATATATAAAAATAGTAAAGTCTTATAAATCTTAATATTAAAAATATCATAAATAAAGTTTAATATTACTAATTATAGAAAAACAGCTAGTATTAAAATATATAAAAATCTAATTATTTATAATGTCCAAGCTGACTTATATTATTGTAAATATTTAAATATATAGTAGTTTATTTGCAGAAATATATATTTTTTATAATAATTAAATATAATAATAAACTTTATATTAATAATTAATTTATTTAGAATAATAAATTTAAAAATAATATTATAAGTAGTAAAATACTTATACAGTTATTCTTAAAATATATATATATATTATAAGTATAACAGAAAATAAGTATATACTTATTATTTTAATTAACAAACAGTTTTTTAATAATAGTAGAAAATAAATTAATAAAAGAAATAGATATAATAACAGACGTAAAATATATACTAGAATTTTAATTAGATAAATTTTTATATTTATTAATATTAATATTAATAGTTTATATATTTTTATAATATAAAGTATTATAGGATTTATTATACTTGTTTTTATAAATATTATTATATAGTTCTTAAAACTTATAAGAGGCTTAGTCTTAGTATATTTTATTCTAATCTTAAGAATATTTGAAATCGTTGAATTTGGAAAAAAAAGATTATTTACATAAAGAATTATTAATATTTACGGCCAATATAAGATTTGTTTTAATAATATATATATAATAATTATTCCAATTATTTAAGTATAATCAGTTATTATAATAATTATTCGGCCGAGTTTAGTTATAATTTTCTATTATTAAATTCATTTTAATAGTTTTAGAATTTATAATTCTAATTACTTTAATTTTATAATTTATAGTTGTTTATATTTTATATTTAATCTAAATATATATTATATTAGGACAGTTAATTCTATTCTTAATTATAAAAAATATATAAATATTATTAGTTCTAATAAGACTATTATAATTTTGATCATTATAGATAGTTTAAGTTATTCTTAAATAACTAGTTATTATATTATTTTTAATTATTAGTATTATTTTAATAGTTTTAATTATTAGAATTATTTTAATTATTAGAATAATCTTAATATTTGTAGAACTAGAATTTTTAATCATAGGAATTCTAGCTATAAAAGCCTTAAAAGAAATTATTATAACTATAATAATTTTTATCTTTATTTATCTAATAGATAAGATCCTTTTACTTAAACTGCTGCTTATTTAGAAAGTACAAGAATATACTAATAATCATAACTTTAGTAAGCTTAAAAATAATTATATAAAGATAAAGATTAATATAGTTATATAAATAAATTAATTAATTATAGGAACTTTTTATATAAGCAGTATAAGTAAAGTAGATTATATTTCAAATGAACTAATTAACAGGCTTATTTGATATATTATTAAATCTATAGTAAAAATAGTTAAATTTATTTATAAGAGTAGAAATATGTTAAGAAAAAGAGGTCAGTTAGGTATAGAATAGTAGTAGTCTAGTTATTTTGAAAACTAACTTTTACTTCTTTATAGTCTAGTAAAAAAAAACTAAGTATATAAAAGAAATTAGAGTTATGAATATTATAATTATTATATAAGAAAGCCGAAAAAGACTTGTAGATAGCTAATTAGAATATAAGAATTATTTATAATAATTAGACTCTTTTAATATATAATTATTTTTTTGTGACATATAATTAATGAAATACTACTATTTTTTCTATAGTTTTAACTAATTTAATATAAATAGTAATAGCAGATAATATTATTATAAAATCATATTAAATTTAGATTAATATTTTATAAATTAATATTATTTTATCTTAAAAATATAATATTTTTATATATGATAATAACAGTATAATCGTGTTTTATAAATTTTTCTTCTATTATTTAATTTTTATTTTACTTGTATTTTAATATTGTATAAATTATTTTTTATTTTATTTTTACTATCGGAATAGTAAACATAAACTAATATTCAATATTAATAAAAAATTAATAAATAGCTATAATTTTATTCATAAATTATAATATTTTTAAAATCTTTTTATTATTTTTTTATTAAAAACTTTTTTTATTTTACTATTATATTCTATCTAAAATATTTTAAAATCTTAATTAAATATTATATTATAAAATCTAGTATATAGTTTAAGTTTAACTATATTTTAACATTATCTTTTGAATAAAATAATAATAATATATTATACAGAAGTCTAATTATATTTTAATAAATCTTTTATTTTATCATTTGAATATAGTTAGTTATTAGTTAGACAGTAAAAAAATACTAAAAAATAGATTTAATTTATTAAAACCTTTATATTGTACTATATATTTTTAGAATATTAAATATAAGAATATTTACAATTTAGTATTTTATTAGTCTATCGGCAACTTAATTTATATATTTATAATAAAATTTATAAATATTAAAAAAATTTATAAAATAAAATATTGTATTTTTATTATAACTAAAAAATAATAGTAATTAATAATTATTATTTTATTTTCTTAAAAATTTATTAATGTATTAATTAAAGTATACTACTATATATTATAAGTTTATTATTAAACATTATAGGTTTATTATATAGATAAATAAGAACTTTAAATATCTTTATTTTTTTAAATAATATAAGCTATTTATTCGAGCAACTTATATTTTTGATATTTTTAGATAATATTATTTAAAAAATAATATATTCCTGTACTAATAGATATAGAAATAAGTAGTTTTTTATTAAAAGGTTTTATAATATTTTTTAATAGATATTGATTATAACTTTTAATATAATTATTCTATTAGTATTTATAGTCTATATTATTTTTATATTATTATAATTTTATTTGTTCTCGAATATAATCCGGGTCTAATTTTTTTGTAATCATAAAATTCAAATTTATAAATATAAATAAACTTAATATATTATGTAACTTTATTATATTCTATTTTATTATACTTTTAGCAATTAATATATATGTATTTATATAAAGAGTATTTTAGTATTATTCTATTTATATATTAGTTTTATATTTTATAATACTAGAGTCTACTTTTTAAACTAATAGATTTTTATTAAATATTTACCAAGTTATCTGTAGATAACTATTAATTATATTTGAGAAACTATTCTTATTATTTAACTATATAATAATATAAAGTATTTAATATCTATTCTATTTTTTAATTTTTATTATTATCTAGATCTAGTATTAATAGTATATCGGTAGTATCTTTTCTAATTTTTAAAAATTTTAATAATAAAATATAAAACATATTATATAATTATATATAGTATTCCGGATGTCAGACTGTTATGATTCTTTGTACGTAAGTACGAATATGATCTATATAAGGTTTGATTATTATAACTACTTATAAAAACAGAAGCTTAAGAATCTGCTTGAACACAGTGGCCGAGGATAATATTAATATATATCTAAAGGAATAATAGTATTTTTTTATAAGATATATCCGTTCTCGATATATATATATTAAGATTAAAATAAAAAATAAAACAATATAATATCTAATCTTAAGAGTATTAGTAGACTAAAAAAACAAAGAAAATAAAGAAATAAATATAAGATATATTAAAGTATTAAAAAAATAAATAAACGAATATTTATAGCTGGTTTAATATATATTAAATATCTTAACAAGCCCGCGTGATTTCAGCTTAATTTATATTAATCTTATTATTAATATTCTTATTAATTCCAACTAGAATAGCATAAGCTTTATTTAATTCTATTTATATATTATTAATACCTTTTGTATAATTGTCGATATAATGTAAAAATATTTATAATTAGTTAAATTATTAGATATTAAAATATCTCGGAACAGACTATATATAGAATATATTATATAATACTATGTTTAAAATATTTTAAAAAAATTTTAAAATATTAGATAATTATATTATTTCCTCCGATATTTAGAAATAAAAAATATTATTTATTATATTCGGATTTATATTTCCTGGAATATTCGGAATATTAATCAGGTTTATATTTACTATAATATTAAGATTTATATTTACTGTAAAATTTGGGTTTATACTTAATAGAATATTTAAAATATTAATCGGGTTTATATTTACAGTAATATTCGGGTTTATATTTACTAAAATATTTGAAATATTAATCAGATTTATAATTACTGTAATATTTGGATTTATATTAGATTAAAAAATAATATTAAATTAAAAAATAATATTAGATTAAGCTTAAAGAGTCTGAGCTTAGATTATTTATACTATTTATATTATTATCTATAGATATACTGAAATATTAGCGGGAGTAATATTAATACTATTTAACTTATTAAACTTAAATAGATTAGATATATACTTATTATATAAATAATAAATACTAAAAGTTTTTAGATTATTAATTAATATTTAGCTGTTCGGTTTATATATTAGAATTAAAAATATTTATTAAATATAAATCTTATTCATTTATAAATAGTCAAATTATAACAAGCCGGACTAATTAATAATTATATATCATTTACAATATTTTAGATTAATAATATAATAGTTAATAAAACATATTTTATAATGGCTTAATCTTGTATAATAATACTATTATTATATTCCGAGTTTTTTTTTATATTTTTAAATATTATAACTAGTTTATATATATAGTTTTTCTTATATAATATATACTAGCTTTTATATTAAACAAAAAATATAGACTATATATATAAAAAATAATTAAATATCCGAAAAAAGATCCTGCTAATATAAATTTTATTTTTTATATTAAATTTATTTAAATATCTAGTTGTTTATTCGGCTTATAAAAACTTTTTAATAATAATATATATTTAAATATTATAAAATGGAATATTATATAAAAATTTGTGAATAATCGTGTATGGCGAAAGGTGAATATATAGAAGTTGTTTATTTAATGGAGGGCCTCGGAGGCCGGGAGGCTAAGTATATTGCCTACAGCAAACCGTAGACACTAATACTCCAGACAGCAATATAGAAAGATATAAAATTTTTAATATACTAAATACTAAAAATAGCAGTTACAGTTGCCTCTACTAAAGAAATATATTACTCTTAATACTATATATATATAGACAGAAATAGATAAAATCGGTAAAAATATAAAGTATAAAATATACAATACAGATAAATATATAAAGATTAATGAAAGTAAAAAATATACAGATAGTCTTAATAAAACAGAAGATAGAATATAGGCAGTTAGTTAATATTATCTTCGAAAACATAAATAAGATTGGATAAATTAAGATTATACTTATATATTTACTAGTTGTATTTTAGAATGTATTCAAGCCAGTAAACTAAAAACTTTATATATATATATAACCTTATTTATAGTAATATATATGTTTATTAAAGATATTTTAATTTTTTACTAGTTTTCGGTTTTGTCGACTGCAGAAGGTTCGGATAGCTGATAGCTAAAAAAAATCAACTTTTTAAAATATAAATTTAAGCTGTAATATTAATATAATAGAATAAATTTTAAATATATTTAGTAACTTAAAACAGTATATATAGCGTCCGATATATTCGATAATATTAAAAAAACCAAACAACTAATATCCCAGTTTATATAAAATATTTTTAGTCTTTAATATAGATATATTATATTTCTTGTACAGTTTTAAATATACTTTATTATTTATATTAAAATATATAAGTTTATACCTGATTAAGTTTTTTTTAATAGGTTCGACTGGTATACAGGCCGAATGGTTCTTTTTAAAATATTTTTTATTAGACTATTTTTTAATAAGATTACTTTTTACTACTGGAGCGGCGCGGTCTTTTATATATATTAATATATTTAATATTAAAAACAGTCAGCTAAGCCGAGATAGTATTCTAACTTAATAAAAATATAAAAAAATAATAAAATATATAATATAATAAGCTTTGACTCAGGTATAATAAGCCCGAGAGTATTAACTTGGAGGCTAAGTATTTTTACTAAAAAAAATATAATAAATGTTTCTTTAGCTTAATTTTTAGATTAATTAATTTTATATATTTAAAAATTTTAGACAGATAATACAGATAGCTGCTAGAATTAATCTTATTTTTTTTCTATTTTCTGTTATCAACTATATTATTAAATATCTGAAAGCCGGCGACAGAATTGTTTATATATATTTTAATATAAATAAGATTATTTAAAAACAGGTCTAGATTATACTGTATATATAAAATACTATTAAAATATTTTATAATAATAATATTAAAAATCTTTTAATCTTAATAGTTTAGAACAGTAAAATAGCTTTAATAATTATATTATATAGACTACTAATAGAATATCTTAATAGTATCGATAATAGTAATATATGAATAATAATAAATAAGCTTAAATATATTTTCTTAATATAGAATAGAATAGATATTTTAAACAGTCTTGGTATTAGCACCTCGAAGATTAATTATTATATAATTTTTATATTTATACTTACTGTCTTTAATTTAAATATCTTTCTATATTATAAAAACAGAATAGCCGGATAATATATAAAATTTAGTAAATTTTAGCTTGTCTTATTTTTATAGTAGTTTAAATATATTATTAATTATCTTTCTGTCTTAAGGATTTATATAGTAGATATAGGCTTTAAAGATTCGGTTTTTTTAACTATTATATAAAGATATCTATATTTACTGTTCTTCGAATATATCGATTAATCTAATATTGCTTTTATTAAGCAGAATCTAAATATTATAGTTATTAATAACTTTAATTAAATATTTAACTGTATTTTTCTTGCCGTAGTTATATATAGTTATTTTATTCGGTAAAATAATAATATTGTTAATATTAAAAGTAGCAAAAATACTAAACCGATAAATATATTTAAAAATAAAATATAGATTATTGATTATCTTACGGGCAGTCTTAGCTTAGTATAAAATATCTTTTAATATTTTAATATTTATAATCTTTATTTTTCCAGCAGTATTTTTTATGTAGTAATTTTAACAGTTATAATATATATATCTGCGAAGTTTTTAAAAATATAATAATAATATTTATAGTTAATTAAATTAATAATTATATTACAGTTTAACAGCTTAATATCAGTATTTTAGCAGATATAAGTATATTTAGTATAATTATAACTAACGTAATATACAGTAATAAATTTGCTATTAAATAAAGTATCTAAGTAAGTATAACAGGTTAGAATAATAAATTTAAAAATCTTATTAGATACTTTAATAAAAAAGAATTTATAAGTTATTAAATATATATATAATATAATATTGCCGGTAGACGCGGCCGGGCTAAAAATATAATCTTATTTTAGTAGAGCTTTAAATGTTTTAATCTTAATAAAAATATAGATTCTTAAATATAGTAGTATAATTATATGCTTTTAGAATATTATAAAAACCTTAATATAGTCTGTAGTTTTGTATCGGATTATGAATATAAAGTCTTAATATAAATATATTATATCTATTTTATATTTTATATTAGAAATAATAGAAATAATATCTTTATAGTTTATAATATTATTTTTAATAAGCAGATCAGATCTTATACCAGATACTATTTAGATTCGGACAATAATATAAGTAAATAAAAGTTATTCTAGTTAAAAGTTTAAACAAGAAAAATTTATTTAGAATACTATATATTTTTCTATTTGATAGTTGGAGCCGAGGCCTTTAATACTTAATATTTTATATAACAACCGGATATTAACGGTAGTTAGTTAAGCAAAATTTTTATTAATAATAATAGCTAAGTATCCGGAGTTAATATATATATTATATAATATATTAGTATAGTTAATTCCGATACTAGCAGTTATAGAACAGAAATTATATAAAAATACTAGATATTCGGGACTGTATATTTCTTCTAATAAGAACTAAATAGACTTAATAATACCGGAAGATACTAATAATAATATAACTAGAATAATAAAATACAGAGTATTTTTATAAGACTATTTTTATTAAAAAAAATAATTATATATAAAAGAAATAATATTTATATTATTATTAATTTAATATAAATTATATAATAGCTTCGAAAATATTTTAGCTACTATTTTTTTCAAAAAAATTGATAAATAAAAATAGACTTTATATTAATATATATAATATTAGATTTTAATTTAATATTTGTTTTTGTACTACAATACTAAAACTAAACTAATATTAATTAATAAATTTGTAAAAATAAACTAGCTAATTAATTATAGCTATTACTAATAATAGACTAATTAATCAAATTAATTATTATTAATATAATAATGAAACATTTTATTAAAATTTTAACTATTACTATTGAAACTATTATATTAAAATAAACTATTATTAAGTAGTTTAAAACGGCTATATAAAAAAAGTTTAAAAATTATAGATATTATATATAATAAATAAAATAATAAATTAAATCTAGTTATTAAATAAACTACAAAATCTATAGCTAGGTCTATAATATATTATATTAATAAACTATTTAATAAAAAAAGAAATATATTAAAAAAGAATAAAAGACAAAAAATATTTTATTACAAAATTTAAAAAATAGTCTGCTGAATCTATATTTATAAAAATTTAAGATTTATATTTATATTTATATTATAATTACTAACTAAGAATTAATAAAAAAATCTAAAATCAAAAGTAAATTTTTTTAATAAATTTTATTTCTAGCTCTTAGTACGGTAAATTATATTTAATAAATTATTTAATCGAGCTCTTTAGTAAGCTTTTTTTATTAAATATTAATTAAATAATATTTTAATATATATCTAGATATAGATTATTATTTTCAATATTTCTATTAGTTAACTACTATTATTATGTATAAATTTAATGAAAATAATTATATTATATTTAAAAACTATTAACTAATTATTTTACTTACTATAGTAAATAAGATTTTTAAATTAATTATTATTTTATAAATTAGTTATATAATAAAAGTCTTTAGATTATTCTTAGAATATTATATTAGTAGATATAAAAAAAGATTTTATAATTATATTCTATATCTAATTTTTAAATAGATTTATATTATATAATAAACTAATTATTTAATAGTCATTTTATTAGCAGTTAATAATCAAAAAATTTATAATAATATAATATATTTATATTTTTAATATAATTTTTCAAAATACTAAATACTGGCTATAATTATTAATTAGATTATTTTTTTGTTAACCGGCGAACCGTTATTATTATATAAAAGAAATTATAAAAAAATATAACTATAAATATTATTTAGAATTTATTATTTTTATTTATTTTATAATACCGATCTATTTAAATTATTTTTTATAAAAGATTACACTCTAATTATTAGCTATATAAAAAAAATATTATTTTTAGAAAATTATATTTAAAAATTATATTTATTTATAAAATTTTTATTATTATATAAAAATTTAGCAGTACTAATATATCTTAATATTTTTATTTTAAAAATATAACTTTATTCATATAATCCGGGGGCTATTTTATATAAAAATATTTTCAATTATATAATTAAACAAGCTTCTAACTATTATAGATATAATACTTAAACTAATATAAAATTTTTATTATTTAAAGATTTTTTTAATCTTAAACTTATTAAACCTGTGTATTTTATTTAACTAAAAATTAAAACTATTTAGCTAATAGTTATATTTTTATTAATTATAGATTTCATTTAAAATATATTAACTACTAATCTATATTATATATATATCATTATTTTTATTTTCTAGTTATTTTTTAGATATTTTATTTGGTTTATTTAAAATATTTAAAACTTTTAGAAGACTACTATTCATATTATAAAAAATTTTTAAAATATTTAATATAAAGTTTTATTTCATATAATAGAGATCTTTTATATTATTATTAAAACTATTTTTAAAATATATCTTAAAATTTTATTATTATCAATTCTGATTAACAAAGTTATTAAAAATATTTATTTTTAAATTATGATATTATTATTTTACTACTAAATTTTATTTTTAAATTTATAGATTTATTTTAGTAGATATTATTTCGGTAGTTTAAAAACTAATCTAATTATATTAATATTAAATTATTTAAAATATTAGTTAATTTAAGATCTCAGGCTTAATTTAGATATATTAATACTTATTAAAATTATTAAACTAGTATTAGTTTTATAATAATAATAATCTTTTAATACTAATATTATTAATTTTAGGAAAAAAGTTTCTTAAAAATATATTTTTTTATTTTTTATTATTTTTTTATTTATATTAATAATAGTAGTTATTTTAATAGTATTAATACTATAATAATAATTTATAATAAAAACTAAATTATATTAATTAGCCAAAATAATCTTTATATAATATATTTTATAAAACTCATTAATATAAAACTTGCCCTAATTTTTAATAAAAAAATATCTAATATATTTATTTATAAAAATATTATTTTTTAGATACTATTAATTTTAGCTATTTTTAAGCTTAAATTAATAATAATTCTTACTAATAATTAAATAGTTATAAAAACTTATACCGAGCCTTAGTACTAATTAAAATAGATAATTATTAAATAAATAGTTAACCAGTTTAGTTATATATAAAAAACCGGTTAATAAATATATTTTGAATAATTTTTAAATTATAAAAATATATTAAATAATAAATTAATAAATTATAATATTAAAATAACAGTTACTTAAACTACTAATTAATTAATATTTTTTATATTAATTTTTATTATATATTAACAGCTCCAGGATTTAGTTAACTAGTAAGAAAAAACTAACTAAACAAGTAATTTATATAATTTTTATATTTATTATATTTTTATCAATATAATAAAGAATAAGAATATTCTTCTTTTATATATAGATTTATATTAAATATAATTTTTACCATTAATTTAAATATTTACTAAGACAATTATTTTAAATATATATTTAGAAATTATTAAAGCTGCTAAATTAACCATATATTTTAGAAATATAAACTTTAATTAATGAAATATATTTTTCTTAAATATTTATAAGATAACCTTTATTAAAGTATTTTCTAGGCTAAAAGAATTTATTAACTTTTAGTATTTTTTCAGAAAGAAAATAGTAAAATAGATAATTTATTTTATATTATATATAAAACTTCTAGATTAATACTAGAGTTTAATTAATTTTATTTTTAATATTATATTTATTAAAATAAACTTATTTTATACATAAAAAACTATTAACTATCAGCTAATCTATATATTATTTAACTATTTATTTAATTTATAGTTAACTAGCTTTTTTTAATAATAGGTTTTTATTTATTATACTATATTTATAAGATTCAGAAGTTTTTAAATTAACTAGTAAAAAATACTAATAATAAATCTAGATTTTAAATTATATAATAACTAGAGGCTGCAGTAGCTACCGGTTAATATTTAAAAAACTAACTAGTATAATAAATATAAAAATAAATATTTTTAAAAACTATTTACTGCCGCCAGTTTGCTATATAGAAAGAAAAACTATAAAATATCTATCAAAAACTATATAAAAATTAAACTTTTTTGAAAAAAAAAGAACAGCTAACTAGGTAGGATTTTTATTTATATATAACTTTAATACTTCTATATCTTATCTATTTATAGGACTAGGACCTACTATTACTCAGCCATTAGAACTGATATATATGTGTAAGAATTATTTAATCAATTAATCAATCAGATATTAATTATATTTCTAAATTTGAAATATTTACAAGTTTATTTTCTATAAAAGTCTTATAAACCTTTTAGACTAAACTAATTATCTTACTATTAACTAATCTTATATAGATTAGAATTATAATTTTTATTTCTAGTATTTTTTAGATAATTTTATTAAATCTAATGAACTGTTTAATTAACTATATTAAAATTTATTAATTTATTTATTTAATTTTTTATTTTTTTATTTTATATATACTGGTTGGAGTATTTTTAATATTTTTTATATCTTTTATATTTAGAATATAGTTTTTGAAATCTTTGATTTCTAATCTAATTACTAAAGATATTAATAACTTACTTAAATATTTAAAATTAAGTTATGATTATTATTAATAGTAAGCTCTATCTATATTATATATATATAAACTATTTTATTCTATACTTTAAATATTCTAAGACTTTATATTTCACATAATTTTTAATTTATTAGATAGACCGATTTCTGGAGTGTTATTTTTATTATTTTTTCATTTTATTAAATTTTCTAGCTCTTATTATTTTACTATTTAGAGTATAGTTTTATTGAAAATATTCTAGATTAAATAGTCTTCGGTTTGGTTATATTTATAATAATCTATATAATACTAATATACTAACAAGTAGAATATCTAATATCTATTAAGATTTATAAAACAAACTTATTTAATATAAATAAACTGTCTATTAATTCTAATATTTTTATATTCTATTAAATATAGTCTTATTATAAAGATTAATCTCAAATTTATTAGACTAAGATATATCTATTAAATCTTTTGAAATTTCTATTAAATATAAATACTAAAATATTTTAAATATAGATATTTTATTAATTATAATAGATATAAATATAGAATTAGAAGAAAACTAATATTAATATAATTTTGTAGCAGAATTTAAAATATCTTTTCTATACTTGGAAATAATATAAATAGTTATATTGAAGATTTTTATATTAATTTAAATAATTTATTTTTTAATAATAATAGTAGTAATCTACTATTTTAAAATTCTTCTAATTGATCTCTTTCCGGTAGTAGCAGTCTATCTAAAGATTCTTTTTAGTTTTCTTATTTTAATAATCTAAATATTATTTTTTATATAGTATATTTCAAAAAGATATAATCTAAGATAATCAGTTTTTTTATTTTAATATATCTAATAATAATATTATAAAATAAATTAGTTATAATATATATTATATAGATATATATATTTTTATTAACTGTTTTAAAAATATTATTAAATATTATAAAAAAGCTTTGGTTAAAATAAATTTTTAAATATATTTTTATAATGTTATATTAATATAATATATTATTAAACTATCTAATATAAAAAGATATTTTATAATCCGGATTATTCTTACTAATAGCTGGTTTAGAAAATAGTTTAAATTAGATATTTTTTAATAGTAAAACTAGCTATTTTTCAATAATAATAAAATTAAATATTGTATATTATAGTTTATTACATATTTAAACTAATAGATATATTAGCTAATTTGTTTAAAATATAATATACTATGTTTAAGCAGTCTAAATAAATAACATATTTAATTAGACTTTATATGTATAAAAATATTTTAATTAATATTTAAGAACTGGTATACAATAGTTTAAATATTAATAAATCTAAATTTCTAAAGAATATTAGCTTTATATTTTTTTGAAAAAATAGAAAGATTATACTGCTAAACTATATATATATTATATTTTTAAAACTGATTAAAATATTATTAAAAAATATTTAAGTCTTTTTATATTATAAATAAAATATTCTATATAACTACTTAAATATTTTTATTATATTCTATTTTTATAATATGAAAAATTACTAATAATTAATTTAAAAAACATATTATTATTAATCTTTATAAAACTAATAAAAAAATTGAGTCTAATTTATATCTAGATTTTATATAAAAAATATTTTATAAATAATTTATAAATATTACTATATTAGTATTTTTTATCTTATTACTTATTTTTATTAATAGCCTATTAAAAAGAATTATCGAGATTATTTTACTATTATTATATATAAAGATGAAGACCTTTACATAATAATTATAGATTTTATTAATTTTATTCTTTTTATATAAAAATAAATAGATCTTATATTATAAAAGTTCTATATATTTATTTATATTTATATTAATAATATAATTGCTTACTTTAATATATTTAATTATTATTTTAAATGTTTATTTATTTTATTTACTTGTTTTAAAGACTTAAATTTAGAACTCGGACTAAAAAAAGTCTATATAGAATTTCTATTTATAATATTATTCGGTTTTATTAATTGGTTATACTATTATGTAAATTATTATATCTAAAAACAGCTTTTTTATAAAATTATAAAAAACAGTTATTAAAACTATATAAAAATAAAAAATATATATTGAAAATTATAATTATTAATTCTATTTCTGAAGAATTATAATTATTTTGTTTATTATAAAATAAGTTTATATATTACAAGATATTTTATTTATTTTAACCTAATAAGTATTTCTATATTAATATTAATATAAGCGGTAAAAATATAAAAGTTATAGTTTATTATTCTAAGCCCGACTTTATTTATAATAATTTATCTTAGTTATTTTATGTACTATTGTTTTATTTATTATATTTCTACTTAAAATATTTACTAGTATTAAAAAATTATTAGTTTATTAAATTTGAAATATTATATTTGACATAAATATTACAAAAAATTAAATATATAATTAAGATATTTAGATGAAAAATAATTATTTATATTAATTATATATTTATTATTACAATTCTTAAATAGACTATATTTAATACTATTTTAATTAAATATCTAAATCTATATCTTATCTACATATCTTATTTTATTTAAAATTATCAAGTCTATATTTTCCACTGTTTTAGAAAATTAAATATAATAGTTAATATATTTCTTTAATTACTGGAAACAAAAAATATATTCAATATTTTTTAAATATAGTTTTAAGATCTCAAAAATATCCTGGTTAATATATTTTTATATTTAATTAATATATACTCTATTTATATATTTAAAATTAATAATAAGTTTAAATATTATATTATAAACAGCTATATTAAAGATTTTTATATAAAAAAATTATATCTATTTTTAAATTTAATCTAAATATTTATTTTTTATATTTTATAGATGAAATTTATTCTACAAAGTTAAGAATATTATTTGTAATCTAAAAATTAATAAAACTATCACTAATCTTAAAAAATAATTATTTAAATAATATATATTTTATATATAACTATTTACTATAAACAGTGATTTTCTATTTTTTAAAAAAAAATATGATTATATATTTTATATATACTTATTTATAAAATTTATAAAATTATTTATAATAATAGTTAATATTAAGACTATAAAAAGTAACTTTCAAGCTGAATAGTCTTTTTATATAACAAAAAATATTATGTATATAATATATTTAAAAATATCCAATATATTTAAATAATAATATTTAATATTATAAACTATATAGTTTTTTTAACTAATTATTTTATTTATTTATTTATATTATTATTATAGACTTCTTAGTATTTCTATTTCTAAATAGTTTTAATATATACAACTTTTTGTTTAATATTATTAATAAATTATTAAATATATTAGTTTTATTTTAGACAAATCTATCTAAAAAATAAAATAATAGAATATTCTATTTATTAAATATATAAAGTCTTATAATTAGAGTATATAATATTATTTTATATTAGATTCTAATTCTTAATTTATAAATATTTTTTTAAAAAAACCTGTTCTCTTATTTAAATATAAAATAGTTTTATTATATTATTACTTATTTATCAAATAATAGTTAAAATAAATTTATAATCTACATTATCGAGATTATATTATATTATAAAATATAAAAATATGTTTTATAAATATTAACCTTACTATTTATTATTTTTAAGATTAACTTTTTTATTCCCTACTATTATAAAACTTATATTATATTATTTTATATTTAATATCTTACTACATCAGCTGTAATACTTAATTAAACTAATATTATATAAAACTATTTCTAACTATACAATATCTAATATTATTTTTTATTTTAAATATTATATTTTTATTTATTCCGATTATATTAGTTTTAACTAATTTTATACTAAATATTTCTACTTTGTTAATATCAGATTTAAAAAAGTTGGTTGATCATTTTTTAATATATTAAAATATTTGTTTATTAATATTTATAGGTAGAGATAACTATTTTCTATATTTAATATTTAAAATATTCCATTTAGAAATATTGTATTTAAAAAATATTATAATTAATTTAGAAAATATTTTATTTAAGTTAATTTAAAAAATATCTAAAACTTTTTTTTAAATTTAATATTAAAAAAGCTCTTAAGTTTACTACTATATATAAAAAATATTTATATAATAATTATTATAACCTATTATTTCTTACTAAAAATAATACAATATATTGTTGTTTTTACTATAAATATGCTATACTATTTATTATAAAAACAACAATATATTTTATTATTTTTATTATACAGCTAGAGCTAGTCTATAATACCAATAATTCTAATTTTTCTATTTATATTTTATTTAAATTATTTAAGATAGTTAATAAAAATTTTTTTAATAAAGATAATTATTAAAAAATTAATTATATTTTAAAGTTTAATATTATTTATTACAGCTGATCTTATTTATCTATTTTTTAATATCTTATTTATTAGTATAAATATAATTCTAAAAATAATATATAAATATATTTATCTAATATTAACATATTAAAATTTATTTAAAGATTTAAATATTAATATTTTAAATAATTATTATACTAATACATTTATATTTTTCTATTTTTCTTACTATATTCTTTATATTCTAGAATATTTTTTCTGTATTTTATTTCATATAGTAATATATATTATTGTTTTTTTATTTTTATATATTTATACTTCTAATATTTCAATATATCTAATCTTTTATAAAAATAAGAATATCTGGTTTACAGTATATATAATATTTAAAAATTTATTTATAATAATATTCTATTTTTTATTTTATTTCTATTTTTCTAACTATTCTAGCAGTAGAATCATCCGTATGTCGCTAGTTTTATAGTCCCTTTTTCAATATCTTTATTATACTCGAAATAATATGAAGCTTTATCTTATCCATATCAACGTTTACAATTTTGGCTTTCTTTCAGAAGGTTAATTATAAGTAAAACTAAATAAATTAATGATGAAATATATAAAATCTTACAAAACTTTAGATCTTATAATATAAATAATAGATAATAGCTATAGAATAATAATTTTAATGTGGTTATAATCTGTTATAATATTTTAAAAGAAATATTATAATCTAAAAATTCAGCTTACTTTTAAAAAAAATATTTTAAATTTTTAGTATATAAATTAGTTTTTTATAGTTATACTAATACTTATTTAATATAATTGATATATGTATACCTTATTATTTAAAAATAAAAATATTATAAAATATTAAATTAATATAATTCTAAAGAAATAAAAATATTAATTAAATAAAATAATATTATTATATATTTAAAATAGTTATAATATATGTAGAATATAGTTCTTTAATTATTTCTCTTTCTAATATAAATATAATAATAGATATTTTAAATATTAATTCTATTAAAATATTCATATTCTGAAAAATAATTAAAAATCTTAAAAATCAAAAAAATAGTTATTAACTTTTGATAATAATTTTAAAGTCTGTGGTAATCTATATATAAATATAAACTTTTATTTTTTTAGAATATAAAAAATAGAAGCTTCTATAAGATTTTTTAAAAATTATATATTTTTATTAGTAGTATTTTTATTTATATAGTTTTTAAGAACAGAAAGTTTTTTTCAAATAAAAACAAATAAACTTCAATAATAAAAATTTATTTTTAATAAGATTAATAATATTGGTTTTAATAATATTTTAAAAGACTTTTTAATTAATTAAATAAAAAACATCTCTAAATTCTACTAATTCTAATAAAATAGAATTACTTGAAAAATAGTTTAATAATTCTTTATTTTTGAAAAGCTATAGTTTTTCCAAAATTTTAATTAAAATATATATACAAGTATAATTTTAGTAAGCTTTAATAAATTTTTAGAAACTTAATTTTTAAGTATAATTAATTTTAAACTATTATTACTTATTTTATAAAAATAAATAAATTTTATAATTTATAAATATAGTTATAAGTAATAATATTAAAATATCTTAAATAATAATAACATATAATCTAATAAGATACCGTTAATATCTTAAATTAGTAATATTAAAAAAATATTTTATATTCTATGAATAATAAGTATAGTACAATTAATAGTTTTTAATTAAAAAATATTATATTAATTTTTGAAAAATATTATTATATAAAGTTAATATTAACTAAATTATATATTATATTATTATTACTATTTATGTAAACTTTTTTAATATACATATATATATTAATATCTTATTAATTATTTCTACTTTTTGATCTAAAACTAAAAATAGAAAGATTAATTTTAACCTATTTTATTTTTTTATATTATTTTTTTAATTATAATTTTTAAATTCAAGCTGGCTTTTTTCAAAAAATATTAATTAGCTAGGCATTTAATACTATTATATAAATAAAACTAAATAGTTCTTTTTATTAGTTTAATATAGTCAAATTTAAAACTATAAGATTAAACATTATTATAGAATTAGAATTATTTTTAAAAATATTTGATAATTCTAATTCTTATCTTTATTTCGGGTATTAGAAATATAAGTTTTGATAATAAATAATAAAAAATACTATCTTATTCTATTTTTTAAATAGTTTATTCATATTTTTTTATATATAACAACTAAAATTAAAAAATAGCTTAGTAAAAAATATAATTTTAGTTTTTTTAATAGCTCTAAAAAATATTATTTTAAAATGTCAAAATAAATGTAAAAAATATATAAATTTGAATTATTTTTATTAGGTTTCTTCGAATTAGCTTATAATATCAGATTTAAAAATAATAATATTTTAATTATAAATAAAGTCTATTATAAAAACATGGGCTATAAATACTTAATTTTTTTTATTTAGAGAATAATTTATATCAAATTTAATAAATATTTTTTTTAAAAAATGTAATCTAGATCATAAAACTATTCTTATTATTTCTAAATATAAAAAAAGCATTAAACTAAAAAATATTCTTAATTTGAATATTTATTTTAAAGTTATATAAAAAAAATAAGACTTTCTGCTGATAATTTAATACTAATTTAATATTATTTTACTAAGTTTTTCTATAATTGAGTAGTTTAATATTATAAATACTAATAGTTTTATAAATAGCTAATAATATTTCTAATTATACTAAGATTTTCTAAAAATGAACCTAAAAATATTAATAATAAAAATTTCTAAAAAGTAAAAGAATTTTCTTTTTTTAAATTGTTATTCTAATATATTTATTGAGATAATATACTATATTTTATAGATAACTAAAAATAAAAAATCAAATTATTAAGAAAAAAAATAGTTAGATATAGAATAATAGTAGTTTAGTTAATTTAAAACTAATTCTTATTCTTTTATTATCTAGTGAAAAAAGTTAAGTATATAAAAAGAGAATTATTAATATCACGACTGTCATATAGAGAAGACAAATGGCACTTATAAATAGCTAACTAGAGTATTAAAGATTATCTGTAACAGCAAGCTTTTATCTATATATTCAGCCTTCGTTAATAGCGAATAATCGCCGCTGATAACATATAGTAAATCTAATATTTGATAAGATCAAAGATAAAGTAAAAAGTTGGAGATAATAACTTACCGATTGGACCTCGGAATTATATATTATAATCTGGATAAGCCGGACATGCTACCATATGTTTCAGAATAGATAATTTTATATATAAATAGATTAATACTAAACATAAGAAACTAGAAGTTCGGTAAGCCGAAGTTCTGCCGCCAGAGGCGGTCAAGAAGACGGCCATAGACGGAACAGCAGAATATCGACATAGATGATATTCACCATATTATGTTTTTTTATAATATATATGATTATTATGGAAAGTTTTGGACTCTTTCAGACTTGCAGTAAGCTAAAGAAAATATATAAGAAAGACCTCTTTTTTTTTGGTGGTTAGACAGCTTACCGTCTTCGGCCGCTTTTTGATAGATAGGTTTTTAGGTAGCTGAAATCCATTCGTCTTTCATGCTTCCTCACAAACTCTAGTAGGGAACCCGCGATACCTAGGTAGTTGCCAGATTACTTAACATGTATCCAGCAAAGACACCCAGTCGGAGGAAGAGGCTATTGCCATTATCCAGAACGCCGTCCCTTTTCACTGGTCAGGTAGCCTGGTAGCTCGATCTACGTAACCTACATGAGTACCTCAGGCATCTTTTAAGTGCGGGATGAAATACAAATATGTTGTCGTGTCTATGGCAGTTGTGGACCTCTCCCAGCCGATGGGTCACTCAACGCTTTGGCTCTCACCCCCCGCCGTATTTCAATTGCACATAGTAAGATCAAATGGACTTACAACTTTGGAGATGTAACCACTCATAGTAGGGCGTTTCATATATAGAATAAATTGACTGATTTGTGATTTGCTCAAGGCGGTAGGGAAACGGACGACGAAACCCCCGAGGCCAGGGCACCCGGGCACCCGGGCACCCACAACTTACAAGTTACGCTTTCTGCAAGGCTGTCGCTGCAAGGGGAATTGCAGCAGTAGCTGCAGTACTGGACCTATCGCACACGGACCACGGCAGCACCAACGATTTCCCTTCAATGAAAGGCGGTGATGATATATAAGGATAAAGAATGGTCAGAGTATGTTTGATACTGACCCGTGGTGATTGGAGATCGAACCAAGCCATTCCCAACCGGGTGGAGCTAACATCGGCCCCAATCGGCTAGGCAGTGGTGCCAGCCTGGAAAGGTCGCGGCCAGGGGGTAGCCGAAGAAATCTCGCCACCCCGGGAACAATAGTCCTGATGGCGCAGTACTTCACCCGGCTTTTCTGAAATACTGGCCCAGTACCTACCAAGTACTTTTACACAGTTCATATCTCCCTCTCCAGTGTTAGCTAGAGGATCTGCTCTCACTTCTCGTTTCCTCCTCTACTCTAAAAGCTCTTATTTCGTTCAAACCTTACCTCCCTCATTGCTTGCCTAATATTTTGCTCGTCTGCCCCTGATTGAAGGATCCTGGGAAGGAGTAGCTGAAGGGAAGCTGACCACCTGCTTTAAAAATGTGAGCCATCCTTACCCAATGTCACTCGATCATCGCTAAGATCTCATAGGAATACGACATCGTTCTTGACCCCAGAATCCTACTGGGGCCAATTTGAGGAAATTTCCAAATACAACACCCATCTCAATGTCGTGGAACGGCTCTGGACAGCATGGTACGCCTGGATGCAGAACGATGTTCTTGCGACTGGTATCATGTCATTTATGATGCACGAACTTGTCTATTTTGGACGCTCGCTGCCATGGATCTTCATAGACAGCATGGGCTTTTTCAAGGGTTATAAAATTCAAAGTGTATGCATAGTCACTGGCAATCGGGGTTGGGTGTCAACTGACAGTCTCTTATAGAACAAAGTTCCGTCCTTCCGTGAACAGTGGGATTGTGCCAAGTTCGTGCTATTAAGCCATTTCACCGTTGAGTTGCCTCAAATCTGGTAAGCTCAATCAGCATGCTGCTTAATTTATTTGATCTAGCCGCTTACCTTGAGTAGGCTTTTCCATCCCATGGCCCAATTCTTCGGCCTCTCAACTTCCGTCCCATTTCCTTCGATCTGGACCATGGCCTATCAGATCGCTATATTCTTCGTTCTCGAAGACACGTGGCACTACTTTTCTCATCGCGCTCTTCACTGGGGACCACTTTATAAAGGCATCCACAAAATTCACCACCAGTACTCAGCGCCCTTTGGTATGGCTGCGGAATACGCCTCGCCTATTGAAGTCATGATCCTGGGATTTGGCACGGTTGGCTGTCCCATTCTGTGGTGTGCGTTGACCGGGGACTTGCATATCTTCACCATGTACATCTGGATTGTCTTGCGGCTGTTCCAGGCAATCGATGCACACAGTGGCTATGAATTTCCTTGGAGTCTCCACCATTTCCTCCCCTTCTGGGCTGGGGCCGATCACCATGATCTGCATCATGAGAAGTTCGTTGGCAATTACTCCAGCAGCTTCAGGTGGTGGGACTATATGTTGGATACCGAGTATTCTCCAGAGGCGATCAAGCGCAGAAGACAAACGAAACTTTCTGGGGATCTGAAGAAGGGCCAATGATGCGATCGCTACTTGCGCTCATTTGCACACATTCATCCGAAGCTCCTTGGGCACTGCAACTCAAGCAACTGTCAAATTCTGAAAGCAGATTCTGTCACCATGCGAAATCTGCAATACCTTGAGGGCCTCGATTTCATCATACTTAATACCGTTGGGAGGAAACTCGTATAGACTTATTGTTTAATTATGCTTCTGAATGATAATTTTTGTAATTGCATTGGATAGTCGTCATGTTGGACGCATAGCTTCGTGACTGGAATAAACTGTTCCAGGATGATTCAGTCCGTCCATAACATGTCCCTCGTGCAACGTACCTATCAAGGTTTTACAGTGCACCCTTGTACGTCCGCTGTTAATCTGCGTGCCAGAAGTGGATGATATGAATATGCACTTTGAAGACTCAATATTATGATCCAATAATTGGCATCTTCCTACAGCAACTGTACCCAACGTTATGTTCCATCTAGGGCACTCAAGATGGAGTTGGTGCTACATTGTATCCAGTCTAGACCCGAGAGAAGAAGTAAAGATAGGCAGACTTCTTCAGCTCCTGTACATCGTCCACCCGCACAACCTTCTCATCATTGAACATGATCCAAGAAGGCCCCTCCTCGCCTGGTAAAGTTTTGCGCACGACTGCAACATAGTGTCTTCTTCCAGGTTAGCATTGATCGAATCTCTCCAGGACCCACTTACCCAGCATGTACAGAGGAGCCTTTGTGACACACTATCGAATGAAGACGGTAGAGAGCTGGAGTAGTATCGAAACCGACAGCACGGGTACTAGGACTTTCAGTCGCTTGAGGAACGGTTCCCACTTCTATTATGTCTTCGGGATGACTGAACACCCAATCAATTGCTCTGTTGACATCATTCCCGACTGCAGCCAAGGCGATCCTGGCCCGATCAGCATCAATACCCATTTCAGACAACTGCAGCACTTTAGCTGCATCGTGTGGTGTCTCATTCAGCGGCTGAGCGGGGCCTTTCGGAACTATAGGTTCATCAATATCGGGGTCTTCCATATGCGCAAACAACCAATTCATGGCAGCTTCGGCATCCGAGTTGCCTGTCATATAGAGCGCCTTTTCACTTCTGGTCCGGGGGAATCCCATGCCGAGCAACTGACTGAGGGCAATTTCGTCAGGATTAAATGTTGGCGTTGGCGCCTCGACATCCGGGAGAAGCTCTTCACCCTGACTAGGAATGGGGGCGAGATATTTACTGAAGTCTATCGGCCCTTCATCCACTTCGACAGGAATGTCGAGCTTCGTTGGTACCCAATTAACTAGTTCGAACCGTCGAGCGTTGATGACCAACTCCTGCGGTAATGTCTTGAAGAATGAGCGCTTGGAGAAACCATCCTCACTGTGGCAGGAAGGACAGCGCAGTTCCACTCTTTCTTCACTCGTGAATGTATCAAGACATTCTAAGATGGTCACACTTTCGAATCCGGCGGTATCCTTGCTTTGCAGTGAGTTTGTACGGTGAGCGGGGACAGACAAGGAAACATTATCCTGTTGATCCACTTTGTATCGCACCTTTCTGCAAGATAGGCATTGGAGACGTTGCTCTACAGAGAAGGCAAACGACTCTACTGGATTCAAGGATCCTCCTGTATGCTTAGACAAGTTGACAAGTTTGAAAATATGAAGCAGGAATTCGAAAGCATCCTGCTGTCTCATTGTGGAGAACTCCTCGTGACCACGACCAACAAGGTGTTTAAACATGGCTGGTGCCAAGCCATTCTGATGCGGAACTTCAGCTGTTTCAGGCGAGGCGCATACATCGGTGGCAGGTTTGGAGTACCGACCAGAGAGGATTCCATCTGCCAATTTGCGCATCTGGGTCTCCAGATCTTCGGCCGGCTTCTGTGTCAATGGGGGCTCTTCACTGGGATGATAGTACCTGTCTTCAAACTGTGGCAAAGTGAAGAGGCATTGTATCACACTTGACAAGTAACAACTGTTGCCTAGGTTTTTCAGGCCAGTGAGACCAGGACCAAATACCGGTCTAAGCTCGTGGCCGTCCTCTGTAGTCATTGAAAATTCCCATCTTAGGTTGTGCTCAACCTGCATTTCCATCAAGCTCTTCTCCGTTTTCTCTCTATCCGCTAGATTGATGCCCCAGTGTCCGAGGTGCTGGGCAAGATCAGGATCGATCCTCTCTTCATTGCACTTATAACAAAAGATATCAGCGGATCCCTCGGCTGTTATTGAACCAAGCTTCACTGCAACAGCGTGCGAGGTCATTTCAAAGTGCGCAAGTCCATGAGAGTTGCCGCCCACGCCACCGAATTGGCTTCGACCACAGCCAAGGTTACCACATTCTAGACATAGCCAAAGGTTTTCCTTGAGACTGCACATCGAACATTGCGCAAGTTCTGCATTTATAATCGTCAGATTCATGTAAACAATAATCGGTCAAAACTCAGGTTTACCTTGCGATTCAAGTTGTCGCGAGCTGCTTTGTTCCACGCAAAGAGTATGTTCACAGGGGATGAACTCTTGCTCCCATGCTTTGACTTCTTCCCTACTGGAGAAAGTCATTGCCGTCAGAACCCCGTCAATAACAGATGGTAGATTGCCACTCGATTGATCAATGTTATCCTGGCAGCAATGGTAACAGAGAACACGAGTGCTTGTGTCATATCGGTCCTCATCCGTTTCAGCAGAAATTGCAAGTTTGGAAACTTTCTGGGGTGGCTCATCTCTCTGCCATGTCCTGTTAGTTACCGATTAGAGCCGTGTATGATGCTGACAGGCAACCTACTTGAACCTTCTTGCGCGTCCGCTTGATATTGAGGGCTAGTGGATGCCCAGATCTTTTGAAGTGCAGAAGAGCATGATTTCTATCACGGGCACAACCGCCATTGAAACAGGAGAGGCAAACGTTTATTCCCGAACTTAGATCCTACTAGCGTCAACTTGAAGCCCAGTAAGTATTGAGAGAGAAACGCATACTACAGAGTCAAAACATTGCGTACAATCCTCCCGATATACAACTTGTGAAGTTGATGGAGGTTTTATTTCTAGACCATGTTAGAAAACTCGAGGTGTGGCACTTGATTTTGAATGGAGGGTACTGTGTGTCTGAGTTGTTGGTTCTGCTTACCCTCGGATTGAACATGGAAACAAGCAGCCATTATGGTCAACCCCCGAAAGTATATGCGAGAACGTTGATATTTCCCTTGTTGTGCTGACTGAGAGGATGAGTATAAGGTGGTATTGAAAAACTTCTCAGATAGGAGTAGTCAAATACTTGAAGGTGGTTAGAATACTTTCGTGGTCTCTGGATAAGAACAAGGATGGTGGAAGCCGTTACACAAACTGACTGATGTGGGGTAGCTAAGTCATTAGCTCACTAACTACTCAGTATGTGGTGCCTTGAGAAATTGAAAATCTAAATGAAGCGGGTCTGATTATTTAATCCCAGATCTGCCGGTCTTTTTCGAGTTCATAAATACCATCTGGTGGACGGTTCCAAATCTTGGCCTATAGAGGAAGCGGCAGAGGGAATTCAAAGCGGTCAGCCACCGCCCCGCTGTTCTTATTCTAAAGGCACTGACGTGTACGGAAGACTATTGCGGCCACTCGGCAAATAGAACTTTGCTGGTTAAATATTCTTACTATAAAAGTTACTATTTACTAAAAAAATAACCGTCTTTCCGAGAATTCTAGGTTCTAATTAGCTAGATAAGTTAGAATAAGTTTAAATAATTTTAAATGATTTTATTTAATTTTAAATAAGTTTCGGTAACTTTAAATAACTTTATAATTTTTTAATATATTAGTTCTGCTAGTATTTTAGATACTCGGTGCAAACTAGCTTTTATATAACTTATATCAATTTTTATTAGCTGGATAAGTTGAATAAAACCAAACCAGTCTAAATAAGTATAAATAAATATCATATAAGATCAGATAATTTTGCATAAATTTATAAATTTATATAAAATATTACTAGTATTTAAGTTATAGATTATATTAATTTTTTTAGCCAGATAAGTTTAGATAAGTTTAAATAAATTTACATAAATCTAAAATATTAAAATAATTATAAATATTAGTTAGGCAATTTTAATAGTTAGAATATAAAAATAATCAAGATTTGTTATAGAAAACCATCTGAAGCAGATATTTAATTCTAATATAACTATTTATATATAAAAAATATATAAGTAATTATATTAAAGTTAAATATCTGTTTTAGATAAAATAGCTGTTAGAAAAAAATATAACTTATAAAAAAGAGATTTTTTAATAAAATAAATTTATAAAATCAAAAAAATAAAAAATAGTTGGATAAAAATGTGTATACTTTAAACTTAGTTAATATATATTTTATATATTTGATATCTATACTAGAAAAAGAATAATATTTATATATTAAAATATTTCTGATATTTTTTAAGCTGTTAATATGATTCTTTTATAGTATCTGTTATATAATAGTTTTATTATATATATTTTCTAATATTAAAGTAATTTACATAAGAATGTCTACTTGTAATATTTAGAAGTTTGTCTATAATAATATTCTGTGTTCTGTCTTATTTTTATTTTTCTGACTGTTCTGGCGGTAGAACTTTCTATATTTTACTAGTTCTATAATTCTTTTCTTAATATTCTTATTATATTTAATGTTATAAATAATATAAAGCTTTATTTTGTTTATATTAATATTTATATAAAGTAGTATATTCTCTGCTTATTTAGATATATATTCTATATATTTTTAAAAAATACTAGTTTATTTATTTTTCTTATATTTATTTTTTATCTCTAGTTATTATAAATATTTTATTTTATTTTTTTTATGTCTTACATCTGCGGATTTTATTGGTTATTATATTTTTCTATTTTTTTTAAAAGTTTTTACTTTATTTTTATTTATAGATTATTATATTTATTAAATTCTATTTTAGTTATTTAATTAATCAGCCGAATCTTTATATATATATATTTATTTTAACTAAATTTATTCTTTGTCGCGTTTAT